AGGAGAATTAGAGTATACAGAACTTACACTTATAGAAAAAGACCATGAGTATTTTCATAAAGCAATATAAAAGGAGAAGACCTAGTTGTTAATATTATAAAAGAAGAAATAATCAGTATTATAGTAGAATTAAGGATAGTTAACAAAATAAGAAGATTATTAGAAGATAGGGAAAGACAAAATGCTGAAATAAAGTCAAAATTAGAATTAGGATAGAGCAAAAAACTTCAAGAACAAAGAAAAAATCAACAAAAACAGCATAATAAAATAGTCCTAAAGTCTATAACACAACAATTCAAAGAATCTGTTAAGACTACCACAGCAAACTAACAAGAGATTAAATGATAAGCCAAAGAAAAAAAGAAAAGATACAAGTTTGACAAAAGAAAAAGCAAACTGTTGAAATAAAGTCGAAGTTAAATCTAGATTAGAGCAAGAGACTTCAAGAATAAAGAAAAACTCGACAAAGGTGACAGAATCAAAAAGTATTAAAAACTCTAATATTACAGTTTAAAATATCTGTTGAATCTACTGCATTTAAACAAGAAAAAGAAAGAAGAATATCAAAGAAGAAAAGAAAAAGAAAAGCAAAAAACAAATCATTTTAGATCTTACAGAAATGAAAACGCTAAACAAGATTTAAAAAGAAACAAGACCAAAAATTGTACTAACAACCCCAGCAGAATGGTTGATAGAAGTAATATATCAAGTTAGTATCAAAGACTCACAACCTAATAATAGGATATAAAAAAAGAAGAAGAAAGAGTTACTTGCAAAATGAATATATAGTGTGAAGTCCCAATAGAATTTAAGATGCCTGAAAGACCAAAGAAGTATTGATTTGAATTCGTTTCAAGATACAATAGCTTATAGACGGAAAGGAACCAAAAATTGAAAAAAGAAAAAAAAAGATATATTATTGGAGATACTAGAGAAGATCTTTGTAGAAATCCTCAAAAATCAGAAAATCTTTGTTAAAATTCAAGAAAAGTTTTTGAGAAGAAAACCAAAGCTTAGGAAGAAAAAAAAAATAAAGAAGGTAAAGAAAAGGAAAAGAGAAGACCCCTATATCCAAAATATAGATGAAAATAAATTTAAGTAGATTATTCAAGACTCTGAAACAGAAAAAACAAAAGAAGGCACAGGATTTTTTAAAAAAAAGAAAGCTTACAGAAGAGTATCTTCAAAGAAAACCCACAGAAAAAGCTCTCAAGAAGTAGGAGAAGACCACGAAGCTATGAAACATAAGGTCCTAAGAACTAGTTCTTTGATCGGAAAGAACAGGTTTAATTGGAAGAAAAGGAAAAGAAAATACAAATATAAACAAGAGATTTCTGGCAATAACCTCTTATTGAAAAAGGAAATAGAATTATTTATTAATAGAAAATTAGTTTTAGTTCATAATAAAATGGAGGATAGGTTAGAAGAAAAAAATTGCTAATTTAGTTTAGTTAAAAATCTCTTTAAATTGAAACCATCTTGTTATAATTTCACCAGCTAGCTTGGTGCAGCCCTTCAGTATGGGCAATAGCCTTAACTGTAGATAGTTTATAATGTATTTGTATATTAGCTTTAATCTAATAAAGATACTAATGAGGCTGCCAATATAAGAAAATATATATATATATATAAACAGTATCATTTATCACCTAATTTTTTATCAAAAGTTTACTCCTCTTCTCTTTTAATATATATCTTGATTAGGTTTTTATATATAATTTTAAAAATTTTACCTATCTTATCTAAAAAATCATTTGATTTTTGTCATGTTTTTAAATAAAACTTAAATTATAATATATATATAGTATAAAGAGTTTATACTTAAAGAGTATGTATTTAATAGTTTTGATTAATTTATTAACAATCATTTACTAATGCTTTTTGCTTTTTTAACCAATTAAGATTTAAAAAAAATAAATATAATGTTTATGCAAAATGTATTAACTAATGCTTTTTTCTTTTATATACAAGTTTATTATTCTAAAATATCAATATAATATTCTTGCAATGTATATCACCTAATATTTTTCATTCTTCTAATTCAAAATTTTTTTATTTTTTTTTATTAACTAGCCTCTTTGGTGTAGGGGTTTTTATTCAAGTATAATAGGCGGAGAGCAGTGTTGGAAATCATATATTCACAGTGTTCACAAGAGCATAAATTTTTTAAAAAAATCAAAATATTTTTATTTTATGTTCACATTTGTGAACATAAATAATTTTTATTTAATTAATAAAATTTTATTTGTGAACATTATTTTTTTTAATGTGAACATGATAAAAAACAAAGTATGTTCACAAAAATCATCATACTGCCTTATGAATTTCCAATACTGGCGGAGAGCTTACAATAGAACTCTAATTACATTAGAGAGTACAACTAGCCACATGTACGCCTTTTGAGTACCTATTTAAGTAGTCTGCATATAGATAACTGTACACCATAGGTTCTACATTAGCTGCCATACTTATAACCCAACTAGAGGATTATCTATTAAACCCTCTGTAACATACACTGCCCCTCTTGTATTACCAGAATACTCTGTTACATTTGTCAATCAAGAGTTCCAAATATATACTGTAGCCTTAGAACTAATTTATCCTCGAGGCATTGTTGCTAAAGCTTTTTGTATCTACAATCTGGCTAATCTAGACTTTCGGTAACTTACGCCAAGTCTGAGAATGAGTACTTGCAAGCCGAAGCTGCTACTATTATCTACTTCTGCCCTTATAGAGTTCACCCAAACTCTAGCACCCACTTTACAGACCATCTACTATTTCACCGGTTCCTAAACTTCCAATTCAGATAGCCCAGAAGGGTGGACCCCTTCCTCAAAATACATCGATGGCCTGGTTGGTATGTTGCCTTGCCAAACACCTTGGTCCCGTCTAGTTTTTAGATCTTCAGTGATAATCCTTTATATAGTGCTATCGAAGATCTATGCTATCTCTCTACTTGGAACTTGCCAAGCAGGATTCTGTATACTCCAGCCCTTGGATTTACACAAACACTTCACTTGGGTTTTGTGTAACTTTTGCATCACACTATAGTTCCACATTCTTTCAGTACAAGCTGATACGACCAAAGCTACAGATCCGATAATCCATCAGATTACACATAATCTACTATAACACATTCTGTAAAATTCGAATTTCATCACTAGTGGAATTTGAACTCTTGTTCTGCCACTTGGGAGTGCAACAACTTACCAACTTTACTAAGTCATCACACCTTCTAATTCAAAATTTTTATTCTAACTAAAATTTATAAAATTAACATAGTATTGTAGTTTTTTTTAAATAATATTAAATAATATGCCAAAAAAATATAATATATTAGACCTCACCTTTAAAAATTAAAAAAAAATATGATGTATTAATTGCTAAGCTGAACATAGTTATAATTCTAAAAGTTGTGATAAAACATCATTCTTTATTCCAAATTCATTATAATGTTCAAAAAAATCAACATAGTATTTTTGTGAAATATATAGACTAATGTTTTTCTTAATCACATCTAAAAATAGATTTTTAATAGTTTTGTAAGTTTATATGGTTAAGTTGTTTTAATAGACAATCCATCTGTTATCTGAAAAGGATCTGTAAATTTTTATAAATAAATTTTACTATTGAGCTAAATGTCAAACACTTCAATATAAAACCTTTTTTTTACTAAATAAATCACTCTTAGACTTTTAATAAAAGTTGTAAACCCATCAAGATACATTTAATGAAGATAAGAACATTAAAATCAACTTGGTGATTCTTGAGAAATCTTTAAAAATGTTTTGTTGATATATAAAATTTCTTTAAAAAAAATTAATCTTTTTTAAAGAAATTTTATATGTTAGTGAAATGTTTTTTAAAGATTTCTCAAGAACCACCAGGTCAATTTTAAAGTTTTTACCACCATTAAATGCATCTTTATGAGCTCTACAACTTTCATTATGGTAAGAAAAAAGTTTTAGATTGGAGCACTCCACATTTGGCTCGATAGTAAAATTTACTTATAAAAATTTGCAGATTCTCTCTAAATGACAGATGAATTGTCTATTAAATATTCATGCAAAAGTTTACTATTTTTTTCATTCTTTGTAGTAGAAATTTTTGTAAGGAACTTACTATTCAATACTATAAATTATAAAACAAAAAGGCATCTTTGAAGAAGAGATTCTTTTTTGAGTTTATTATTTTTCTAACTTTAAACATAAGAATAATGAAATATTTGTCTTGCAGAATCATTTTACGTTGTTCAAAATGCAGTTTCCTTTTAGAAACCCGAAAACGGCGATTGAAAATGGCCTACCATTGAGAATTTATATAGGTGTCGATCACTCAAATTTCATAGTAAAAATTTTATTCACCTAACCTGCATGACGTCTAGATCGACTGATAACGAAAGTGACTTGTACGTATGTAAGTTTCGGTTAATTTGATTGGTTAATTATCACAGGGTAGATCTTTAAAAAATTAACCAATAATATGAATGTCTTCCTATGAAGCACAGATTTTTTTGTGTCCAGATCGATATTTAAACTTACGCGACATTTAAATTTGACGCGACAATTTTCATCCTTAAACCAGAATCATATTGTAAATGACTACTCGAAAAAGGAATCATAGTAATAATCGTTGGATGTTCAGACTTCCATACTTTGAAAGTAACAAAGCATGGAGCTTAATAAATTTCTTAAATTGGAGCATAGTATTTATCGATGATTTCGGAAAAAAGGAAGAGGAGCATAGAATATATAAAATTTGTTTAGAGCAGCTTACTGAAAGACCCGAGTTATTAAAGTCTCATGACAATGAATTGACTCAAGAGTTGGCATTACGAGGCATGGAATCATATGAAGTTAAGAACCTTTTTCTATTTTCGGTATTTTCTGTACGCTTGTTTTGTTTAGGGGCTATAACAGAGACTAGGTTGCGTCCGAACATTTCTTAGTCGAGTCTAAGAAAGTGTCTTGTTATAGTTCCTTCTAACTGCTTAGAGTGCTATGTCGAGTCAGAATCTCCGCTCGTCGAGTCGATCCCAGGGTCGCGTCCTATGGGTTTGCGGAGAGCGCACTTTACTTTGGTTGCGTCCAAAGTTGTAAGCAACAATTTTTTTTTTTTAATTTTATGCTTATGTATGTAGGACGAAAAGAAATCATCCGCAATAGAAAACTTTTGGAAGGCCGAGAATAGCGTCGTGAAAACGTTAAAAAGAGCATCAACCGTGAATTCTATAAATATAATCAACCGAATGCTGGACTTACATTCTAATTACAACGATGCATTGACTAATACTACACGAGAAAATATTGGATCAGGTACATATCAATTATAAACTGAATATGTCAGTATTTGAGCTTTTCTTAATGATATAAATAGCTCTAAAAAAAAGAAAGACGGACAAAACGGACGATGAAATTGAATATGAGACTGATTCAAGTGATACAATATCGGAAAACAATAGTGAAGAAAACCTTGATGAGCCAGAGATGGAAAAGGTGTTTAAATACATGCAATTTTATATTATAAATTAAATTTCAAACCCTATAATTATTTTAGGTGACTTTATCTCACAAAAGAAAAAGAGAAGTTTTGCGTATTCTAGATAATCAAGAACTTTATTCAGAAACTCTCCAAACAGAAGTAAATTTATTAAATACTATTCAAGTTCCAAAAATTGAGGTATTTTCAGTTTCTTAACGTGTTTTTTATATCGTAAATTGAAACTAAGCATAATGGAAATTGGTTTTAATTGGCTATCGATTTTGATCATCAGATCGAACATGATTGGTTAATGTATCGTAAA